GGTAGCAGCCCGCTGGCTGCAGGGATTGTACCATTAGAGAATCATTTGCAATTAAACAGGTACAAACTGGACACTAGTGAAAGGCTGAAAGTCAATATTACTGTGTTTTGGTTTGGGAGAATGGAAGAATAAAACCATGCTGGGTCCAGAAAAAAAATCTCTGATAAAGTGGAAATACTTCAAGCCATATGAAAGTCTAGAGAATGTTATTTTTCCAATACTGACTTTGGCTTTGGGAATCACAGCAAACATAATCCATCAGCTGACATAGTTAATACCACAGTGTTTAAGTTTGGTAATGAGACCAAGAATCATGATTTATATTAAATGCGTCCCAGATGTATTACCTTCTTTGCTTATTGGTGTAAAAACGCTTTCTTGGTCTGGTGGATTGAAAGGCTTTTGCCTTTTCTATCTCTAAAGATGAATCACTGTTTCCCAATTCTGTTTTTTACTCCAAAAAGTTTTCATTCTGTCATACTTAGAAAGCCAAAAAAAAAAAGGCCTTCATGTCACCAAAAATATGTAAAATTTCTGTTTAGGAGGACAGAAATGTAGACAATTGGTTGATAGGTAGATTGTACCCGATTACCTGAAATTTTCAGACTGTATAATGTAGCTGCAAACTGTTCAGGGTTTATATGCAGTGCAATATTTCTCATAATTTAGGTTCTAGTTTAGCTTCATACATAAATAATAGAAAGTTTTCTGAAAGGCCATTCATAGTTCCCAATGAAAACAGTCGACAAGTAGTGACTGACTCAAATGAGATCTTCAGCGAAGCACCTGACTTCCTACCTCAACCCTTTTCCACCCTTCTCATACTACATGGGGCCCCTCAAATTAATCTTCCCTTCACTCTTCACCTTCCTGAAGTAAAATCTGATTTCCTCAAAGAACCTACTTTTGACCCCATTTTATTCCCCAACTTCACATCTTTTTTTTCTGCATGTTTTTCTTTTAATTTATCATTTTGAGTTAATCTCAATTTTTAAAACGTACTAGGCAGCAAATTAATTGTGAAGGTCAGAAGCCCCTTTCCACTATGTGAGCTAACCAAATACTTTAGTACCCACATTGTCCAAAGAAACCACTATTTTTTAAACCTGATGACACATTGCATGAGGAAAATGAAAACCACTCAAAAACATTGCCAAATGCTGAGATGAATAATTACAACTCAGAGGAAATAAACTATTCAGCCCAGACATTTGGAGAACATACATAGAAGTATGGTTGTACTATTCATGGATCAGTATATGAATAGGTAATTGGAAGAACTTTTCTAGTCTAGGGATGAATACAGAGTACAATAGAGGGAGAAGATAGACTAAAAATCTCTTTAAAGTACTCCTATTTTCTTCCAAAGTATCTACATCAACAGCAGTTTCTGTTCTTCCAGGCACAATGCAACCATATCAGATAAATATACAGCTGAAACAAATGACTGAAATAGCCTTAATAGAGAGTTTTATGGTAGCAATTGACAAGAGATCAAAACCTAATGATTTTTGTGATTCCATTACGTGTTTAAACTCTCAGATTTGAAAAAGTTTGTAACTTTTTTCTAAGTTTTCCTATTTCTGTCCAAAACGTTTGACATATTAATACAGTTAAGATCCCATAGTCTTATGGCAGTGTAGGAAGTGTAAGTGCATGGGTCCTGAGGTCTAATCCCCTGCTCGTTTAGACTCATACCAGTATTACTCCCTCTAAGTCATATAAACAGGAATCTAAAAGTGGAATTTTCCTTAGATGCCATGAGGCTTTTTTAAAACCTCACTCCTCTGGTGATTATAAACAGCTTTCTGACTTCCAGCCTCAGTTTATGCACTGCCAGTCAATATTTGACTTTTGTATGGAAATCTGCATAGGTAGCAGAACCATAAAAAACTCCTTCTGCTAACATTCGTGCAACCAAGAACAGTTGTTACTTAACATTAATCCTTTTGAAAAAAACCTTCCCCTTCCTCATTAGGCTGTTTCAAAACATCACTATCCATTCAATATCTCACTGCAGTGAAGCTAGACACAGTTGTAAAGTAAATGTCTTCCTACTGAATGTCATGGGAGTGGGGCAATAAAACTAGTGATCACGTGGTTTAAATTAAGATTCAGATTTCATCAACAGCTGAAAGATGGGAAAACCTGAGCACATCTATAGCACAACCCTGTCAGACTGCAATGAGAGGGAAATGTGTGTGTTATGGCAGCAGCACTGCCAGAGCTTGCTGAACTCACTGTGGAACATGGCTCTCTTTCTGCAGTCCCTTGCAGGCATCCCTGGTGCAGATCCCTACCGCAACCCCCCATTACAGCAGGACATGAGATATCCCAGAGGCAGGATCAGTGCTTGGGCTGCATTTTTGGCTTTACATTCAGCCAAAAAGAGGATAGAGGATTTATAAATAGAACACTTAACTGAGATGTTTAAAGCTAGGTAGAAATAAACTGGGCCTCGATGACAAAAACCCAGTATTGCCTCTGTCTTCTGAGCAGGTGCCAGCTCATATTTGAGGCATGAGGACAAGTAACCAGAGCTATAACCCGAGCAGTGTTTATGCTGGACTTCTAAAGGATTTTTTTAAAAAACATAATAACAATATTAATTCCATATATTATAAGACAAAATGGTACCTTCAATTGTCTAAATTGATAAATTATTGTCTTAATCCAAGAAACAGGATGTTAGGGTCTTTACAGGCAAAATGAAAATGATTCTTTAAAGATGTTGGGTATTTGAGGGAAATGGTATTTTTCTTCATGTTTTTATTGTTAAGTAGTAAGGTCAAATTAAGTCTTTCTTAAAACAGGACATATGGTTTGGGTACTTATCTGAATAACAGAAGCTAGAATGTGCAGGAATGATTAAATTGTCCAATTCATCACCAGGCTAAGACACAATCATCCTCTGCAACACAATTTTCTGTATTACTTACATTATATTTTAATTTTCAAATTGCTCCTCATGAATACAGCTCTGTATAACAAAATGTCCCCTAGTAGTCAGGATTCATTATTAATTATGCTGTTATAATCTTGCTTTCTGATTTCTTCATTATTTGTAGAGTATTTTTTCATATCCTATGGAGACAGGCAGCCAAAGCCCAAGGCGCTAATTAAGAGCAGGTGAAGAATGTAAGCAGGAAACCAGGGATAAGCAGCAGCTGAGGGCTATTGCTAAATAAAGCCTTTCTGAACAGATAATTTCACAGTTTAACCGGATTGTGTTGAGAAGCAGTCTCAATTACAAAGGCATCAGCTCAGAAAAAAGGGCTTCAACATAAAGCACAGCTCTTCATTTCAATTTCTTTTGTCCTCCAAATCCAATACTCATATTTAGCTGAATATCCCAGAGCACTGACTATATTCTATGGGATTACTAGAAAAATATGTATTTTTCCTATGTGAAAAATCTATAACTAGTTTGATACAACATATACTTACTTATTAAACGGTTTGATACAATCGTTCAACCTAAATTACGTGTCAGCTAGCTCACAATATATCCCAGCCTATGGTGTTAATACGAAGATATTAAAATACAGCCAATTATAAAAAACAGAACTTAATTTAAAAAAGCGTTTTATTTTATTCAGTTGGACACGTGGGGTCTGATTATTTGGAACTTTGTATTAACTCAGTACCATTGCAGTGTCCAAGATTCCTTGGCAATCCTTTGCAATCTCGTTGTAAAGTGGAATAACTTCTTTCCTGCTATGGAGCCACTGCAGTAAAAGCCACCCCCAAACTCCACTGACAATGCAAAATTGCAGGGCAGCTACACCCAGACTCTGCCTTTCTACAGCAGACTACAGCTTGTGGTATGGACTGAGGGTTTTCCTGAACGCAGGCCCACCCAGTTCCTCCCTGTGGTCTGTGTAAATCCCAGTTTAGATTGTCACCATCACCTAAAGGCTGACCTCAGCCTGGCTACAAGCTAATGGAACTGGAATTGGGAGCTAGACTAGGATTTGGCTTATGCACTGGCAAGAGAAAATAAGATGGCCTATAAAAGCAACCTTGTTCTAAAATCCATACACAAACTTACATGCACGCAGTTTGCAATACCTTTTCTTTTGCTGTCTGGTGCAGTTCTTTGGTTCAGCTCTCTGTCAGAGAGGAGGAGAAAGCAGTCAGGCTTTCTGGCTCTTTCACCATCCCAGGCACTATTCTTCTTTACCTTTTCAAATGTCCCAGTTAGAAGCCTCCCGTTACAATCAGACATAACTAATTGTGCAGCATTCAAGCCTGGCTGCAGGCCAGTGGCTACAAGCACAGAGCTAAGAAACTCCTGCAGCTGATATTGCTGAGCATAACCATGCAGAAGTTGCAATAGAAGTGTTTGCTGAGTACAGGCTCCCTCACTCTCTCCCCTCAACAATACTTTATGCTTTTATTCTGTGGTCATCCGTTACTCTACCTACAGGAGTTTGTCAGCACTGGTAGTGTTAACATTTTCCAGAATTTTTGTAAGGGATCTATTTTTTTAGGGATCATCAGCCCTAAAGCAACCCACCTGCAGACATGAAGGTGATCTGATTGTGGGGCTACCCAATTAGCAATCAGGAGAGAGGACAAGCCTATGGGTGAGGACACTGATGTGCTTTGCAGTCACATAATTGATTGCAAAAGGATTCAGACTGATAGGCAGAGCTAATACAGGCACACACATAAGATGGGAGAGGATGAGAGCTTAGGTGTCTCAAAGGGTCAGAAGACCCCTGTTGGTGATGTAGCTTCTGTGATGCATAGAGATATGTACAGCAGGGGATGTGACAGACAGCAAAACAGCACTCCACCCTTTGTCCCTTCGTGGTATTGCTGCCAGGGAGATATGCTGCCTCATCAGGTGCCACCTCCTCCTCCACGTGTGCTCACCTCCCTCACTGCGCCCCCCCAGCAACCCACCACTGCCAGTCTTGCCTTGGTGTGTCTCTCCCCTGTGCCCATTCCCATGGGAGAAGCAGCCTCAGCATTTGTTTGAAACATTAACAGAATTTCTGTGCAAAACTTTTAAAATTTTTATTCTCTGATTTCTCTTCAGTCTATTATGGGTGTTATTAACTACTATTATGACTAACAGCATAAAGATGTAAACATTTGTTCACAGCTTTATATATAACATATCTCAGAGAAGGCTGTTAGGTATGTGACAGTAAAAACTGAAAACAGAAAAGAACAAAAGAGCAAAACCAGAAGTATACCGAATTACAGTATGAAATCTATTTACACACATTAATCTATACAACATCATGGTCTGTACACGTTGTAAAAAATAATCACATTCATTTACATATTCTTTAACTTTTATCATACTTGACAGATAAAAAGTTATCCACAAAGATGAAAAAAGCATTTCAAAGCAATACTCATACTAATGTGCCAGGAAAAAAAAGCTGCAGGTTATCATAAACTTACTAGAGTGCTCTGGGAAATAAAAGGGGTTGGGACATTTTAATCACTGGTTTATCTGACAATGGAAATGTTACTGACTTAGATTTAACTACTTACTGTTATTGGGTGGAACCAGGTTCAACACAAGGTGGTTAAACCGTATCAAGAAAACCTGCTTTTAACTGTCATCCTGTTGTACTCTGTAACATACATGTTAGAACACCTTTTTGTTGTTATTTTTTTTCATCAACAGAATAGCACTGCGTACTGACTTCTGCCATTTGGTTATGTCAGGGTTGTACTGACAGCCAGCAGCTTATATAGGCACTCATGGTAACGTGAAGGTACTTATGTTAGTAAAAGTATTTCCTGTATCACTATGCACAGACAGTAATTGCTTGGACAATACCCCTTATATACATAGCAGCGTTCTCTGCAGGTTACTTGTCGTTCTTCCTTTTTCTTAGTCATATTTGATGCTTGATTCTTCATTAGAGATGTCTGAAAAAGATCTGTATTAAGTGAATTTAGACTTTGTTCACATTTGCTTTGCTGAAATGGACAAATTCACAGTCAACAGAGGATGATTTTAGAACTCATAAAATAGGAGACAAATAACGCAAGTGAGTCATCAGTCTTTACACATGCAGTGTGAGATATTTGCTTGGCAATGCCTTATTTCATAAAGCTGTTCCAGACAGATTCTCTGGTTTGCTGAGGGTCTGTGCCTGTTGCTTTCCCCTTCACCATGTCAAAGGCAAAGGGAGCCTGCCTGGGGTGAATCAGGACATGAAGTAGGTGCTACAGAGTGAAGCAGGCTGCCTCCAGCTTGACTGGAGAAGGCTTTTTGTAATGCCTTTTGCCTCCAATTAGTTACCACTGCTACAGTACAGTTTCAACATATGCTTAAACTGGGTAGTTCCTCAGCTGGGTACCTGCAGCACCCATCACCATGCGTTTCAGGTGCAACTGTTGGAATCTCATGCACTCCAGGATAGACTGCATGGAGTTCTCACTTACATACGTCAAATTCTTAAACTTTCATGAAAGCCAGCACTCTGGCTAAATGGGCACTCTCCATATTCCTAAAGTTATTTTGCAAAGCACATTAATGCACCTGACCCAGACACCAAGGCCAACATGTTATAGAAAGGTATAAGTTTATATGGCAAAAACCATGTTAGCAATAATCCCATTGCATGACACCTGACAGTTCCTGGTCAGTGAAAAGGACTGTGTTAAGTCCAAGACTTCAAAGGTATGACCAGCTGAGCTGCAAATGGGAGTAAGAAATACGGTCAGTGGTGTATGCATTTCTTTGCTTCTTTTGGTTGAAGGTATTATGAGTGGAGTGGACACAGAAGAGAATCAAGAAGAATATCTGAGAAAATGCCTTGCTACCAGAATTTGAAATATTTGTCATTAGTTTCTCAGAGAGGAAATCAAAACATGATTTAACGAGTAATTTTCAAAAGACTTCACATAAAGAAAATTTTTGGTAGTCTAAAGCACTTTGTTTTACCATATGGCTCCTCTGCAAAAGACAAAAAGCAAAACACCTAACCCAAAGCAAGAAAAAATTGTTGGAAGCTGAAGCCAGGCAGACCAAAATGGAACATAAGGCTACTGGTTTTGTCAGAGAAGGCAGTCAGCCAAGGGAAGCCCTTCCAAATGAACTGAGGAATCCTCCATTGCCTGCACTTTTGAATCACCCTACACATTTCTCAGAGAGTAACTTTGGCCAATACAGGTTACCTGGCTCAAAAAGGAGTATCTGGGTAATATTAGCCAGATAATCAAACATCAAATCTTTTCTGTAGAGATTCCTCTTACTTAATTCATCTTACTTAATTTGAGTAAGAAATGTAAGTACTAGCCAGCCACCCTGGGTTCATTTTATAGTAAGTATAGAGAAAAAGGATGTTTCAGCTTACCTACCTTAGATGCCCAGCTGAACCTGGGACAAATCATCTTCAACTAGTGCCTGTGTCCCTAGGATGACTATGGAAGGCACTGAAAAAGAGTCTTTAGCTCAGAGACAGACATTTAGCTTTTAGATACTGAAACCAGGGCAGATGAATTTTACCTGAGCTTATTGAGCACTTAGCAGAAATGGACTCTGCAGCGAAAAATTTAAGTCAGCACTCACTATATATTTATATTTTAATCATGGTTAGTGACTGGAGAGTAATCTATGTCTCTCAGACATTGGCAGCAGGTAATGCTGACAGAATCACTCAGAATGAATGGTGATGCCCTGGCTGATGCAACTTCGTTGTCTTTAATGTCATTACTCCCTATGCAAAAAGTAGAATCCAGTTCAAATTCATCTGCGTCCTGTTAACAGAAACCGCTGTTTCATTGAAACTTAAGATGCATTTTCTTATTTAAGCTTTTCTGGTTTATAATCCAGAAATCATTAAAATGCAATTTTCTCCATGCTCACCTAATTAGAGCAAAGATAGTTTTCTCTAGGATACAACGAATTATAAACAATTGGTGATGCATCATGCAGACAGACTGATGGAACTGATTGCTTGTAATCTCTGTTTCTAGACTATTATTCTGTTTGTGTGCCAACTCACTCAAAGAACTTCCTTTGAACATAAAGATGAGTATGCTTGAATTCGTGTCAAGCATGCCTTTCTACCCAAGAAACCTGGGGAAAAAAGTACATTCTACATGTCTCGTCTCAGGGAGCCGAGCAGTCCCAATGCCACTTCAGACAAAGAAGCACAGATGTCTTTAATTTAGGTATAGGAGCAGCCCCCAAAGCTCTGATATGTCTTCATATACGTGCAGTTAAAACGTTGTTGATAAGAGTGTTCAGAGATCCAGAAAAAAGAATAAAGTTTAGCAGTGGTTTCTGAGTCTAAAGCCTTTGGGAATATACTTAAATACATGTATGTATCTTTAAATCTTTAGTCCCCATGGGACTGTCACTGGATAGCCTACTCCACTCCAGAATCTCATAGTTACTTCACCAAGTGACAGCAGAAAACACTCTGAGTGACTGGAGGTGATAAAGTCAAATTTGGCAAAGTAACAATTCATCAAGTGATCTGATCATTGTTTAACACAAATGATATCTACTACAAAAAGGCTGGTGTCATATAACATTTACAATGTTACTCATTCTGTAGTACTCATGTGAACCATGGGACCTTTTCTATCTTTGCTCTGACATGACTTTGTATTAATCCAGGGTAATGCCACTAAAATAAATAGTGTTTGACTGATAAAAATCTAAATTAAATCAGACCGAGAGGTGTATGGACAGTTTGATGGCTGCCAACAATATTCCCAGTACTGGTTATATTTTCAAGAATGTACATGCCTGTCAAGACATGCCTTTGCTCCTGTTCTTCCTTCTACCTGGCAGTATCAAGGACCTTGGGTTCTGCTAGCTCCATACAATCTGTTACGAGAAGTATGAGGGCAATTGCTTTTACGGATCAGTGGAACTCATGCAAATATATATTATTCCCACTTGCCATTAAAAGTGGACATAGTTAAATATGACATGGAAACTAAACATCATTTGGTTTATTTCTTTTAGAGTGCAAATGTCCTGTGCATATTTGTAAGAATCTGTCAGTTTGTCAGTTCAATGTCTTTTGGGTTTTTTTTACAAAGTGGCTACATAAGAGGCTTGGCCTTGTTGAGAATTCCTTCTATTTATGCCTTTTATGGTAATTTTTAGGGATTCTAATTTTTTTTTTTTTTCCTGGAGTCATGGTCAGGGCTATATTTTAAATCAGCTCAGATAAATACAGAATAGAATTAAGATAAAATACTTTACATTATTCCTTAAATGGGAGCTGTAACTTTACTGCAATATTCCTTGGTTTAGCTGCCAAGTATGTGGTTCTAAAGACATATTTAAATGAAAATATTACATAAAAATATATTTTCAATGGGTAATATGCTATCCAAAGTTGTTTATCCTATGCTTGACTGCTGTAGCAATAAACCGTCCCTTCAGAAAATTGCTTAATAAAAGATCAACACAAATCTCTGATTTTAAAAAGAAGAGAAAAACTGGTCATTGCAACAGCACTACTGGAAAATGGTGATGTTTTAATCAAAACTATTACAGTAGCCTTTTCTGACTGCGAAGCTAGCCCTACTGTCTGCATCTAAACAGAAAACCAGGCACTTTTGAAAGGAACAATAGGATTGAAATCAAACTCTGTAGAAAGTCATTACACAATTAGCCCGGGTTTTTCTTTTCGAAAAGCCTGCCTTTTTGTGCCTGTATACATAATGTTCATTATTTCCTGGATTAGCACACTAAACACCTAGTGTGGTTAATCATAATCTTACATTTCTTTGTTTTTATTCTGTTTTCCATAATTGGGAAAGAATTTCCTAATCCTTAAGGAAATAAATGTTTCCTTAAGTATAAATAAAGTGTAAGAAATTTTCTTGCTTCCCATCTTAACCTTTTCAGCATGTACCAAAGTAGTCTACATTGAACAGCATATGTTCAATGGCAGAAATATTGAAGGGTAAAGGGACCATTATAGTAAATGAGTTTTTGAACAGTTATGGCTAGTAAACAGCAAGAGAACATTAGAATTAATACAAATACCATTCAAAAAAAACCCAGAAAGCATCCATGAGGCAGGTGTCTCTGTTGTTAACTGGTTGGCTGCACAAACCAATTTCCCACATGCCAACATGTTGAAAAGCAAAGCACTAAACTGTACATTTTCTAAAGTATCACATCAAGCTGCATAATGAATGATATATCTCACAGTGTCTCATGATTTGGGGGGGACCTAGCTTATTTATATCATGGTGGTCTCTGTCTGCATAAATGAGTGAGCCCTTGAATTCCGGTGGAGCTGAGAAATGCTTTCTGATCCATTCCGAGAAATCGAGGAGCTGTGGAGTCTGTAATCTCTGCCTGCTGTCTGCTTCCAGCACAAACTCCGCCATTTTCTCTTCAGCTCCCCTTGCACCTGTGTTAAAAGAAGATGCACAAGATGAGCTGAAAATGTTTTTTACGGGAGGAACTTTTCTACGTTTACTGGCTCTCAAATGGGGACCTCTAGGAGTAGAACCATGGAATGGTTTGGGTTGGGACTTTTGAGTATCACCTAGTCCCAGGCCCACTGCCATGGGAAGAGACACCTTGCACTAGATCAGGTTGCTCAAAGCCCCATGCAACCTGGCCTTGAACACTGCCAGGGATGGGGCATCCACAGCTTCTCTGGGCAACCTGTTTCAGTGTCTCACCACCTTCACAGTGAAGAATTTCTTCAAAGTATCTAATCTAAATCTACCCTTTTTCAGTTTTAAACCGTTTCCCCTTGTCCCGTCACCACATGCCCTACCAAGAAGTCTTTCTTCATCTTCCTTATAATGCCTCCATTTTATACTGAAAGGCTGCAATAAGTTCTCCTGAAAGCATTCTCTTCTTCAGGCTAAATAACCACAACTCTCTCAGCCTTTCTTCATTGGAGAGGTGTTCCAGCCTTCTGATAATTTTTGTGGCCCTCCTTTGGACTCACTCTTAACAGGTCTGTGTCATTCTCATACTGAGGGAAAGCACCTTGCTCAGCCTCCTGGCGACACTTCTTTTGACATAGGATACAACTGGCTTTCTCAGCTGCAGGAACACATTGGCAGCTCTTGTCCCATTTTTCATCCCCCAGTATCCCCAAATTCTCCTCTGCAGGGCTGCTCTCAATCCATTCATCCTCCAGTCTATACTGATACTTGGGACTGCCCTAGCCCAGGTGTGGGACCTTGCATTCAGCCTTGTTTAACTTCATGAGGTTCACAGGGGCCTGCTCCTCAAGCCTGTCAATGCCCCCTCTGGATGGCATCCCTTCCCTCTAGAGTATCAAATGAGTTTTTATGAAGATTACAAAACTGAAGCAAAGACTGTGTCTATGCTGTCTGTGAGGAGATGCCCCAAGGCTACTCTCATGATCCATTCCGTATCACTTGTGCTGCAACATTAGCTTTTGGTATCTAGCTATTAATCAAATATACTTAAAGCTTAGAATCAAATGATCAGCTGAAAATCAGGCATGTCATGAATTTCAAAGACCAGAATAGCACTCATGAGAGCTGAATGTCAATTCCCTGTGCAAGGGAATCTTGATGTAAGGCATCTTCTTCAGGCAGATGCCTCCCATGAGACACAGCATACTGTTTAAGGTATATTCTACTTTAAAAAGTGGCTGAAATCAAAAGGAATTATATGTATCCTCCTGAGTTGAGATTAAGAAAGCTGCTACATGCTAAGCAGAAAATCTGCTGCCACTCTGGGGCTTAGATTCTGTCAGAAGATTACCCCTAAATACTTACTAAATGGTGCTTCAAGTTCTGGACAAACTTCTAGGCTTGTTGTACCTCACTTGCGCAACCGACATTGCTTGTAACAGAGCTAGAATTAGATCATGCTAAATAACAGAAGATGCACTTACTAACACCTTGATTTATAAGGAATTAGATTTCAAACAGCTCTAACTCTTTACCCCAATTCACTAATTTCTCCTGTAGTGCAGAAACTACCACATATATATTATATAAATAGTAATGCAAGTATCTAAGACAGCTTTATGTATCAGATTAGAATTATAGGGGAATTCATACATTTACTGATAGCAATATTTAACATCCTCAGTAGGAAAGATGAGACTTACTTCACTGTTCAAAAAACAATACAGGACTGCAACAATCAACCCCTGGAAAGAGACAATATTCCTCTGTTAGCAGGCAGCACCAACGTAGGTCAATCAAACCCCTTTTGAATAAAAGCTTTAAAATTTACCTGAAAAGATCCCAAACACAACTCAAAGATTATTTTATAATAATTGGAACTGCGGTCAGGAAATAGAGCAAACACTGTGTAGTGAACTCCAAATAATGGAATAAGCAACAACGTGGATTTTGCAAGTCTCCTGGGTAAATAAAAGAGAAAAAGCTGGAGTTTAATGATAAGCTCTTGTTTTACTCTGATAAGAATCCAATGCAATGTTGTTTACATAAACCTCGCATAACTCCAGATTTATAAACAGTCTTAGTAAGAGTCATTTAATGCAAACTGTTTTCCTTTCAGGCTTGCTATGCAATTAGCCTTATAGTAACCTCATAAATTAATGTGTGCAATTTCATATTATACTTGATGTTGCTAAATTTCACTCTTCCAAAAGCCAGTAAAAGGCTGCAGGGCCTCTCTAACCCAAAAAACCCTTTTTCAGGTGCCCTCTGTACAACAGCAGGGTGTAGGACATACCCTCTGTTCTGTCTCTCTGATAGACATCCAGTTGCTAGCCTGATTTCATAGCATGGTTTTTGGAGTTTGGGTTTTACCGCATTATTCCATCGCTTTATTCAACAAAGTGTCAGAAGCAGATATCTCAAGGTACTTTTTACCTTGCATAAAGGGTATGGAGTGGAAAGAAATAATTCCTTCCTGCACAGTTATGCTGACAAATCCTCTTGTATGTAAAGAAAAAGCTCTCTTTTGAAATTAATTGATGTTATTTTCCTTCAAATGTGCAGCTGAATGGTTAGTATGTACACTACACACACACGGTTTGCAAACAGTACCTAGGAAATGTAATCCAGAATAATCTTAACTGTGAGATTTTCATAAGCAATTTCAGATTTACCCTCAAATGCTAAAATCTCGTAACTCCAGTGATTGTATTGGGCATATACCATTAACTAATTTTTAATGATGTCAATTACATAATACATTTTAGCACAAGACACTACTGAAGGAAGGAGAACTTTAAATTATGAAGCAGAGCAGGTCTGACAAACTGCCTGTGAAACCACTGAAATGATGAATTGCTAATTATCCCTCATCTGTCACTTATTTCAATCTAACAACATCAGTTTTATATATTATTCAGGGCCAGTCATGCATGATTATGCGTCTCCAGTATCAGATAAAATTCAAGAAGTTATAATGTTGAGTCCCTTAATTCATTGCTGTCTTGATTCAACAATGAAAGGATGCTGTTGTGAATTCACCTATTTTAACAGAAAATAAAGGTATGTGTCATTTTTCATGGCCTTCCTTTCTTCATAATGTCCCAGAGGCTGCATCTGTTTATGTGGAAATAATATATGGAAATAATACATACATTCTGACAGCAAAGTTTCTCAAGAATAGTAAACCCCTCACATCTAAAGGTGTTACCAGGAAGTGGGACAAATAGGATTTCTTTAGCATAAGAAATGCATTAACAACTGGATGAGATAAAGATGGCAGCAAATTTCCTGGTTTCCCAAATGTAATAGAAAACTGAATTTAAATTTGAACTTAACCTTACCCATTGCAAAAGCAAACTGAGCAACAAAAAGGATGGAACCAGGTACAAGCAAGTGGACAGAGGAAGGGAAGAAAAATGGCGATTTGCATTCGTATTCATTTTAGACTCATATTTCACTTTTAGTTCTTGGTTTAATATTTTTTTTGTCTAGCTGATGTCACTTGCTCTATACTGCACTTCCATTTTAGTGAAGGAAAGGGACATAAAAATTAGCCTTGTTCTTCTCTGTATTTTGGAAAATGCATTTGCATTTTGAAAAAGGAGCTTTCCAGACCTTTAATTTGCTCTGTAAATGCAGTATTTCTTGAGGAGGTTAATCTACTGTTCCCATGGGTATCAGCTAAAGACCATCCAATCCAAACTTAATCAGGCAATCAAATGCTAAAAGCAAAATATTCACAGGGCTGAATAATGAAGGACAAGGTTGCTATTAATGAACAATTTATACTATGAAGTGCTACAGTAAACTGTGGAAAATGACGGGACTGATAGGAAGGGAATGCCTCATTTTCATAGACTACATAAATACCCAATGGAAGCAGAAAAGTTCCTGTCACGAGAATTTGAGGGGATGTCCTGTCCATAGGTCAGTCATAGTGCTAAATAAAAATCTGGCAACTGCATAATTTTATCTAGGTTGATCTGTTTCTGCCATGTGTTTAGATAATCCAAGTAGCAAACAGAAAAAAGGACCCTTGCAGCTCTATGAAGCGAAGCCTCCTGTCAATCTAGTCATGTCACCTTTTCCATGGTGCATCAGAATTCTGAACTTTTTCCATCAAATGTGTCATGTCATTTACAAAACACAAAGTCCTCGTTCTCTTGGATTTAAAGATATACTTTACTTCAGCACACCATGTTTTATCTGCTCTTAGGATAGGAATTCAGTATTTTTTAAATGAAGAAAAGATGTTATCCAGGAGCACATTTTCAAATGCCACTTGCACGGGATTGAATTTTCAGTGTTCATGTTAGGTTTTATCATTGAAATATCATATTAATATCCTGGAGTGTCAAACTCAGTGTCTGAGCTTTAAAACTGGACCTAATACAACAGAGACTTGATTCAGAATTACAATATCCAGCAGCTATTATAATAAACAACAATAAACGATACAGAAATATAATAAAGAACAAATCCAATTTTAGCAATGTATTTAAATTGCCCCCCCATTCCTTGATACTAAAGCTGTGGAAATAATGTTAAGATTTGATGTTCAAACCAAAACCAAAAGGAGAAAGCCTAAACAGAAAAGAAGTTGTAAAAAATCAGAAGTCCTTGCTTTCCTCCAGAAAAATAAAGATGTTATTTTAAATCAATATAAAATGTTATATTTCATTTTTTACTGTTTGGAAACAATGTATCTTATTTCCAACTCTTAAAATGTATGCAAATATTACAACAAAAGTATTTTAGAAATGAAAAGTTAAAAAAAAAATGCTTTTAGGAGGTTAAAGCAAAGAGGCTTAGATCTTGAAACTTTTGTTAGGTTGAACTGACATGTTTACACATTAAAAGATATTACTCCGTATTTTCTGCATCAGCATATTCATTCATTGATTAAAATCAAATTCAAGAGTGCCTTGTTGGTCTTCATGAAACTGCCTATTTTTCATTGAATTTAGTGTCTCACAAAATTATGTAAATCTCTATTTCAGCATAGTGACAAGATCTTTATTAAACCACAACTGAAAGTATTTCTGAATTAAATGTAATTACAGTATCACAGCAATTGTTGGTAGCAGGTTTCAACAGAGGAAATCTTACAGATATTATTTTGGTTCTGTATATAATATCTGAAAATATGACTCACTTGTACTGTGACTGGTCATTTCCTCCAACATCTGGAGATCGTAACTTCTGCAGTAAGATTCTTATAATACTAATGAAAAGTATAAAATTCACCTGCAAAGAAAACAAATATAATGGTGATTTCTTACTTCCTCACTCAATGTGCAGCACAAAGAAATGCCTATCAAAGCAGACTTATCAACTCAGCAGTGGATGTTGTGTGCCTCCTGTCAGAACACATCAAGTCCTACACTATCAAATCTATTGTCTGTTTTCTGCCTCACTAGGTTTGCTACGTTCGGCACACCTCTGCATGACCACCATTTCTAGTCTGCCTGGCAAAAGCCTTTGAAAGCCCTAGCTATTAGAATTGCCCTCCTTCCAAAATCTCAGCTGAAGGCAGGTTTCCTAGAAGGACGGGACACTGGATGTGATTTAGTGCAATCAAGCATTGTCCTGAATTCTCATGAGGATTCACAACCAGAAGCCCAAAGGAAAATGTGAGCCCTGTACACAATGTTGATCTTCTATTGCCACCTTGACATTTAATATTCTCTGTCTGGCAGTGTTCATGGCCAGGCTGGATGGGGTTTTGAGAAACCTGGTCTAGTGGGAGGTGTCCGGCCGGAGGCAGGGGGATTGGAACTGGATGAGCATTAAAGTCCCTTCCAACCCAAACCATTCTATTATTCTATCATTCTGTGAACTGAAGCCATGCCCACTCTGAAGAGTCACCTCAGAACTTGCTCTCACAACACTGTTTACTGTTGGGTAATAACCTTACAGGAAGTGTGATCTTCTAAGCAGTGAAACTTTGGAGTTAACACAGAAATCAATGGAAGAGAGTGAATATGGCGTGAAGACTAAGCAGACTTCTTGTTAAATCTGATGTGGTTAAACCACTATTCCTTAAAAACCTTTTCTTGATTTCCGCTGTCTTTCAAAAGTATATTTATGGCATCATCCTTGCAATCAGGCTCTATTGTACTCTTCTTTTCTTCACTCTTCTTCCTCCTCTTGAAGATTTTTGGTATCAGCCACACCCAGAGCTTGCTTTCATGCCATTACATAAGACTGTCAATCAAGAGTTCTCAGCTTAGTTGTTCTGCTCTCCTTTATTTTCCTGAAATTCAGATTCTTTCAGCGTTTTCCTGTGTTCACCCCATTGACTACTTACACAGATGTCCTTCCTACTGCTCAAGCCATTTGTTATTGCTGGTCACCCTTGTCACCATTCTCTTTGAATCTTCCAGTCTTCCTACACTGTCGAGCAGACTGAAGGCACTGTGTGAAAGAGTATGAGGAAGCTACATCATACTTGTATTGAGAAAAATCATGACTCTCACAACACCTATCCAAACAACTTGCAATGATCTATTTCCTTTGCTGTGTTTTTCACCCAATTTTACCTGACGTTTCATTAGCTCCTCTTGCTCTGTGAATTCATGCTGTGCAAAGTTGCCACAATGAACATGCTGGTTGTAGTCTGATATGCTTCAACAAGGCGCATTACTTAAAAGGGTGAGTATCACTGCTTTTATAACTCCCTTTCACAGATTAACTTCCCAAATGCAAATTGTAGTTGATAAGCAGCTGCAAAATCATCTAATCAGAGAAGGAAGTGGCTTCACACACTATACACTGCATAATCACTTGGTGATCCTTAGTTGTTCTCAACCCTAAAACATGCTGTTTAAGAGAAGAAACATATCTGCAAGGAGACAGCATATGCTAAGCATGTGCACCCAGCAACCCAAAAAAGGTCATTTGCAAAATATGTTTTAACATAGTGGACTTTTGCTGACTGACCAGTACTCCATTTTCTTAGCTCAAAATTCATTTCCCAGTCTTTGCTAAGATCCAGCTGCAATTCAAGTCTGTCAATAAGCACTTGGATAACTTCTGATAACTTCTAGGACTTTGGAGAAGCACTGCGTTCTGGCACATGAAGTCTCAGCTGTCTACTATGTAGCTGTTTAAACTGAACATCCAGAGAACAGACTTTCATCTTTGTGTAAACATCACGTAGTTTGTTTTACTTTCATCTTTCAGCACATTTTCGCCACTCTAGACTATACCCCATTCTCCATCTCCTTTGAGGTACACTTTTTCTCTTCATGGTGTATTTCTGTTGCATGCCCATTTCTTCATATCATAAGGAATATTTTCCATGAGTCCTTATGTCATTTCACACGCAGGCTATCCTGCTTTCTCTTTAAACACTGTAGAATTCATTCTGATGAAGATGATAAGAAGTTCTCTCAAAATGATTTTCAGCTGGCACAGAATGAAATGCAAGCCCAAGCATAATGTGCACTCTTAAAATCCTGTGTAATCTAATAATGCCCTATTTTTTTCTGACAAAAATGTTAAAGCAAGTGTGTATTAATTTGCACTGTGACTATTTTCAGAAATGGGCATATAACCAGAGTATATTATGCCCAAAGTAAATTAAACAATCATCACAGTGAACAGGAATTTTATTTTGCTACTCCAGTAATTCTAATGAAAGCCACATAAGAAAAGCCCCAAGAAGCATTCTCAAATGATACTCTTTTGCAAATACTTCATGTTCAATATACATTTCAGTAGGCTACCAATTAAAGGAAGATATACATAGGCATAGCTTTTTTTATGGCTACAATAATATCGGATTCTCAATTGCAGGACTGTCTACGCACAAAATCAAATTTACAATTCACTGAAGTATAATTAGATTTTTGCACACATCCTTCCCCCTCCAGCTAATAAACAAGAGAGATGTTAAAGAAAGAACAACATACAAATAAAAGCAACTGCTCATTTAATTGGAGGCAGATAAATTCTGAAGGCAACAAATTTTAATGGCCTTGGCATCTGTTTAACATTCCTCCTACAGCACAATTTCTTTTCATTAAAACAGAATTCTTGCCCATCTGTAGTGAAGTGATAGAATAATGGCTATATGCACTGCACAATGCTGAACTGATCTATAATTCATGCTTCAAAGTTTACTTACTATAATAGAAATTAAAATTGGTATTCGTATAACCCACCAGGGACCACCATGCTCATTTGTATCCCAGCAACTATAGAAAGAAAAGAGGGAAAATGATGTTGACATTAATATCATCTGGCAAGCAAGACCTGTAAGGAGAAGAATTTCTTATATACAAGTCAAAACATACTAAAATAATGCTTGTTCTATCCTAGAATTTGGCATTCAATCTTTTTCTGATTTTATTTCCCTGGTTTTAATGTGTATTCTAATAAGCTAAAACATCAGGCACACTATACTGTACCATTAAAAATCATGGAGTACACTGGCCTTTAGGGGAACCAAGCTCAGTTTCACTTTGTGTAAGGACACTTTTCCAAAAAGCACTTAATAATCAGCCTCTGGCTAGTAGGAAGATCTAAATCGACTGACACACAGATACAATTAAAATGACATAATTCCTGGTGGGATATTTAGGTTAAAGATGGCTGGAGCTGGTTTAGAAAAATGAGAGATTGAACCTGAAACTTTGTCTGAAAAATGGAAAATTTAATTTTCACTGTGGGCTCAGCACTTTTCATCCAAATGCTCTCAGAATAAGTGCTTTGAAAGATTAATCTTAAGCAAGTGCAATATCCTTCAGAGTTCCTCTAACTGTGACCATACTAACAAAGGAAAAAAGGAGTTAGTCTTCAGTTTACATGATAAAGGTCTTGCAAAGAAAAGTTAGAAATTATATAGGACTTGACTGTTCACTTTAATTACAGAATCAATTGAAAAACATTAGTCAGGTTGAAAAAAGGAGTGTGAAAACTATTTGTCCCACCAGCTAGGAATGCTCTCCCATGCCTCAGGGCCAGCAGGAGCATCAAGTCTCTTCTTCCTACAAAATTCTCATCTCAGTTCCACTTCCCATGCCAGAAGCCATGCCTACCTCTAGTTAGTCATGGTTTTACCTGACTTTGTGCATCTTACACATGTTTACATCACACTGCTTCACTTCTGGGAATGTAGTTTATATATACACTAAGTTATCCAGAGTTGCTAGTTAGCAAATAGGAATGCCCCGCACCTTACTGCACTGTATTACAGCACTGAACCCAAGGACCCCACTGCCATTTTAAGTATTATCATGACTTCCAAAGCAGATAGCTTTAAATGTGGGCCTCAAGGGGCAACATTAGTCATAACCTATCTCTTCCCTCTCCTGCCCCTAGAGTTTTTCAAATAAACAGCAAGCATAAGCAAAATGTCGAAGAGCTCCTAAACACCTGTCCCTTTACTGCCATTTCTGTGCTCGTCCCCTTCAGAACAGCAAACTGCCTTTGAGTAAACACCACCATACCGAAGGCAAGGGTTGTACTGGTGCAGTTGGAGGTTTTAAGATTTCTTTACCCCACAACTTACCCAGTGTCCTCTAAAATAATTCGTGTCACTGTCCACGTAATAATGAATATGGTAGGAATTCCTGGAAAATTCCAATGAGGTTTAGAGGAGGATCACAAAAATGTAAGTCCACAAAACCAACAAACCAAAAAAAAAAAAAAACCCAAAACCAGTTCAGCCTACTAGTAAATTATTCCCCAAATATACATCATATAGTAAACAGTTTAGTGACTGGAAGGAGAAGCCCATCTGATGCTATGTGATGTAAGCAATGTATTACAAAGACTGCAGGTTTCTTTCTTACAAAAATGCAGCCATAATGACTAATACACAAAGAACATGCCTTTCTTATACATCTTTCAAGCTGTCAGAATGACCTACAGAGAGGTAGATACAAGTTATACATTCCCAACACACTTCCAAGGGCTACGACATAAACCCCAAGCGTAAATCATTTCATAAGGAACAATTTCCATACACTAGTTTATTCCCATTTCCCAGCAATACCTAAATGTTTTTATGACCACCTATTACTGGAAACTTTAAAGTGCTCCATATAAATATCATTTCTCTTTCTGGAAATGAAAGGAATACATGTATTTAAAACCACTCGGACAATATTACTGGGCTTTTCAAAAAGGCAAATGTCATAACATAGCCTGTGGCTGTGCAGCTAAACTTTCTACTTCCTCCCAAAGTAGGACAGCCTGAGTGGTATGTTTTGAAGTGGCAGTCCTTGCACCATCCTATATCCTGAACAAGCCCTAATCTTCGTGCTGATTGGCAGAAGTCAGAGCCATGCCAAGGAGCAAGCTAGCAGTTATGCCTCAGCAGTTTTGTGCCCACTCTCTCCCACGGTACAATGGCTGTAACCTATGGTGGAAATGAACTGAGTGTGAGTCATCCAACAGAAATGGTGTGATTACCTTGGTATGAAATACTGAACCTGACTAACATATTCATACAGAGAAAAGAATCCCATTGGTTCAGTTCTTACCCCATCCAATCAGCAGGTAGATTGTGAAATGCCTGTTGGGGGAGAATATCAGCACAAGGAGGATGTGAAGGTAAAGTCCTTCAACTAAGAGCCAGTAAAAGTTTGCCATAACACCATACTGAAAAAACACCAAAATAGCCTTGCAGCCCACCTGCAATAAGAGAATAGGGATCAAAGTTGTTGCAGGTTAAGATGCTGTGTTATTCTGTTATATAGCCTATAGATCTTAACTCGCCGTGTAATACTAGTAACCCAAGTCCAGTAGAAATATTTTTATTCAGTCAAGCAAATTGAGAATTGTAAATGTGACTGTATTTATAAAAAAGAAATGAATAATAAAAAAAAATTTAGATGGCTCTTATATCAAATTCACTCAGAAAATTTGAAAACTTCATAGCATAAATATTGTAAAAGGTGACAGTTATCAATAAATGCAATAGTTAATGAATGGCTATTATATTAAATGATTATCTGCTAAGTGGCTAATAAATATATTAAAATTCCAGCTGGCTTCCTAATATAGTAAAACTTAACAAAGAAACTGCTTTATGAATTTTTCAAGGCTAAATGGGAAATTGAGTGAAAAATATAACTTTACATGATGAATACACAGACTTAGAAGAAAAAGGTGAATGGACTTCAAAAAATTGTTTTCCCTTTAGAAAATGCTTTAATGTTTCTTAATTAACAAAACACATAAGCATGTATCAGAAAATGAGGTCCCAATATACTTATAGTCTGTGTGCTGCCCTTCAGAATTAATTTTGAGATGTCTGTGCTGATGATGTTCCACAGTGCTGGCTGCTGTTACTTTGTACTTTCCAGCAGGACTTTGAGATGTGAGAATTGAACATAATGTTTCTGCTGAGACTAAGCTGTGAAATGTGATGATATGGTGAATTTAACAGACTAAACAATATGGACTAAATAAAACTTGTAGTTTCTGCCTGCTTTACTACCTTCCCCATTTTAAATCCCCTTCATGCCTCCACTGTTTCCATTAAAGTTCCAAGTACGCCAAATACCCAAGTAGGTAACTTACTCTTTTAGTGATTGATTCCTCTTTCTAAATATAGGTGTCTATTATAAAGTGAGATGCCCTCAAGCACTCCAGTCACCAGCTGCTAAGCCAGAAGGGCATAGACCTTGAGATACTTCTTTGTATCCATCAGCCTTTTCTGGTGTCTCAGATATATCTCAGTGCATCTCAAGTTATAATACGTGCCTATACATATGCCTGTGTAGATGCCTATATCGCCAACTAAGAGCCCAAAGGCTTCGATTAATTTTAGCTGCGTAATTTTAGCTGCCTACAAAAGTAACTAGCCAACTAGCTCCTGATCAGCTTGCGAAGAGAGACAGGCATGTCCAGAGAAAGTCTTGAAGCAGACGAGATAAACTGTTCAGTGAGAAAGACATAAACCCAGAGAAACAGTCACCTCAGTCTGTAAGACTAATCTTACTTCTGGATTCTGTATCCATTGAAGGGATATCCATTGCAGACCAGTAATGGGCCAGAATATTTAACAAGGAGAAAATAAAACATTTCAAAATGCAAGCTGAAATTCTATACTTATGATTACTTACCACCAGATTTCCTTTCCATTGGCTAATTTTTCATGGACCTAAGAACTTTTGATTACCCTTGGCAGTCTGCCTACTAACTACTTTGCCTTCCTTGGGTCTACTAACTTAGAGCCTATCGGTCTTCATTAGAAATATCCCAGATTACAAATTCTTACATACGGCTGGGTAGTCACTGCTAAGAACTTTATACTTTGGGACAATATGGTTCCACTGATACAGAAATATCTACCTTCCACTTTTTTCTCACAAGCTTAAACTACAGTAAATTAAACTCAGAAGGTATTCAGCAGTATTTGTAAGATTCTTCACAACACTTTTCACTGAAACAATGGAGGCAGAAAATGCAGAATATCATATAGTGATCAGTCTTTTAACAGCAAGACTTTAAGATTTTTCTAAACCTGTGCATGAAAATGCAATAAATAGATTGCCAAGAATGCAGATGGCAACACTTCTGTCATAGCCAAAAAGTATAGACAAGTTAATAAAGACAACTCCTACAAACATTTAACTCCCTGACTCATTTTGCTCTCTTCATTGACACCTGTCCAATTCCTTGACCCCTGACAGAGCTGCTGCAACACTTCCAGACAAAACTGCCTTTAACCATTTCCAGCTGATGGCACTCCTGTTTGTCTTAAACTCTCCCAGCTGATAAATACAGTGGCCATCTTTATTCTGAGCTATAACTGGTAATGATTTGTTCTAGCAGGTGACTTGCTGTCCCTTCATGGACTTTATGTTTGCAAGTAACTTCTCTTACTTGTGTTTCAGCCTTCTTTCTTTGTCTACTTCTAACAGACCATTTTGCTAGTCATTATATTCTCTGCAGAATTGTCTACATTGCCAGATTAGTATTCCTAAACATTTAAAAGGAAGTGGGAGACAAAATCAGTGACACAACGGTAGGTAGCAAATGAGGTTTATTACCCATGAGGTTTGATCCTCTGGACAGTGAGCTGTGTTGGAGCTGGAATAGAGAATATCATCCTTGACTAAAACAGAGATTGCTCTCAGAATGAAAGAGAGGAACAGGTTCAGATGGATGTAGTTCCGAGTGCAATGAAGTTTTCTAAGAAGAGATTTAAAAACCAGCATTTTAGATTTTGAGTCAGAAAGCTCTTGAACAGACTTCTATTACTCTCTGGTCATTTCTTAGTAATGTGAACCCTTTTCTCTGTCATATTCACAGTGCTGCCTTGCTGTTTTCTTTTATCACCATTCTCATCATTATTGTGGGCTGTCCAAAATACACAAATAAAGTATCTCTTACTCCTTTTCAGCAGACCAAAAGATCCCAGTGGTATTTCTCCCACACTTCAAATATGCTGACAATAAATATAGATTATTATATCCATCTGTGTGTGCACTCATCCCAGTTTTTTTTCTTGCAAATAAAACTTTGGTTATCCTGGATATATTCCAGACATGCTCTCACTTATAGTTGCTGATTTGATGTTTAACTCCTGCATTTTGCTACATAATGGTTTTTCATCCTGTGATATGAGAGTATGTAGGAACAATTCAAAATGCAGTCAAAACATTAGATCGCCTATCCTTTCTACCCAGGGAGATGTGAAACTTCTCTTCTTTAGTCCAGCAGCTGTGTGAAAGCCTGACAAACAAATGACGAATCAGACATCCCAAGTAAGTGCTCAGGGGAAGCAGGACATAAATGGAGGGCTTTTCACTTAAAAGACATTCCCTTGAAGATCTTCCCATTTAACAGAATTTTTATGTTTATTTTTTTTTTTAATAGCAAATCCCCAGAAACCAAACTGCTAAGAGGTTTTTTTGGTCAATAGCAGCACCTGGAAAAAAGCCAGAAGCCAAGGCAATTTAGCAAGAGCAGGCAATGGAAGAGTGAAGATGCAATAGGATATTATGGTGGTGTGCACTGGCAGCTTCCAAGTAGTCTCTGCATTTTGATTTCTACCAAAGAACACTAAATAATCCATTCCAAAACTATTAAAGCAAGGATACAGTGAGTGTAGGGAAATAAATAACAAATCCATCTTGCTAACCCCCAGCTTGGCAAAGGACATAATACCAGACTGAACTTAAAGCAGCTGTCAAAAATCCAGTTATTTCTATGGCTATGCATGTCCTTTGCTGAAACAGGTTCTGTGAAAAACTGATATACCACTATTATGTTGGACTGCAGCGTATGCTCCTATGGAATTCAGAAATACATGCAAGCTGCAAAAGGGAGGAAAATGTTTTTCTTGAGTGACTAATTTAGATGATTAGTTCTTCAACCAGTGAAGTAGCTGAAATAATAAATGTGGGATATATACAAGGCTGTGAAACCAACATTTTGGAGGTAGTGAGCATATGTGTGATGTGTGATGATTCAGAATAACAAAGAAATGCTGTTCTTTAACAATAAAACAAAAGCTATCATGCTTATTGCTTTGATATGACTACGTCTTGATACATAACAACCATGTGAAGAACATTTACAAACAGCTGATGCACATGAGAGCACATCTTACTGAAATGATGGAGATTCAGATCATGCTACTTGGAAAGAAACATGTATCAGACAAACTGACATTTGTTTGGAAGGTTTTGTTACACAGAAGTAACCCTGAAGGTAGTAAGGTCTATAGTAAGACCCAGAATGTCAGTGTTACATAGAAATATGCTGTTCTACAATTTATTGGAACAAATTAACCTTTTTTAAAATACCTGAAAAATACTATTTATTTTCAATCATTTTTAGTCCCACTTTTCTAAAACTTGATATTAAAACAGACATTCAAAATGAAGAAATAGAAACTTGCACTCTAAGAAGAGTAAAGCAACTCCTTTTGGCTAAATCAAAATGACTAGCTTTGCTGTTTATAAATTAAGGTTGCAGAAGGAAGAATGTGCCTGAAAAACTGGCAACCTCCAACACAAAAATATTGCGCTGGAAAGTTACCAATTAGCTCTAATTATAATAAGTAAATAGAGTCTTATGTGGGGAACGGCACCATAGTAACTTGAAAAATGCTGTCAGCTTAGTCTGGCAAGGTATTTATAGATATTCACGTTCTAAGTCTTTGTTTTGAGGTTAAAAGATTAGCCAGATATAAACTCCTTTCCTTTTACAATGCTTCTAAATTTGTCCTTTACAACAATAAGAACACACATGATGTTTCTGTGAACATTAAAATCAAGGCCAGTTCTTTGGAAGAAATGGGAAGCAGAATATTGCAACTACATGGAAGGCTTCAGAAACAACTCTTCTTTCCACACGGTTGTGTCTTTCATGTGCTTGTAACTGATATTGTGAACAACTGCAGAGACCTGAGGCGGTACCTGTTCTGCCAGACAGTACATAAACAATATCTAATGGACTGCAGAAGTTACATTGTAGTACCTAAAAAAGAATTTCCACTTCTTTGTCATAAACACATTGCCTACAATTAATTAAACTCACATTACTCCATGTTTTTTTTCTTTAAAAAAACTGCACATATTCAGTGCAGAGAAGTGTAAACCCGATGCTTTTCCTAAATATCTGAGCAATCAGGCAAAGTTAAAACCGTCTTATTGCTGTTTGTATTTACTCATGAAAGTACATACCTGAAAAGGCAAAGAATTATACTCCCTGTTGTAAGAGCAATCAGAGATACGCTGTGTCCAAGGGTATAAATTGCCTTCACCCTTACGTAGAAGTTGACCTGCACAGAAAAATATATATGCAGAAACCACTTAATGGTATGTAAAATTGACTGTAAAATGATGTAATTTTCCACTAACTAGCTCTGAAGGCTACATAAATAGCATTATTTTCACTTTTTGCTCTACAGTACAGGATGAGAATGTTTCATCTTCATTCCAAAATATTTCGGCAATGCAACATCTCAAGCCAAATGACCTCAGTAAAGAATACAGTCTCAGGAACTCAAAACTTAGGCACACAAGCTGGTAAAACTTCAGCTGATTATCCCATGTCAGTGAGTCACACAAAGCATCAAATTTATCAACTTCCATAAACACAATCAAAGTGGGAAAAATGAGCCACAGTTTGAGGAATGTATTATCTCTGAAAGACAGAATCTCTCTCAGTCCTTCTACCACAGTGTACTTTCTAATGCATTTATACATAACTTTAATTTTAAAGGCAGGCTTAAGTATCCTTAATTTCCTAATATAAATGTTCAAATACTTTATTAAATGGTGACCCAAACATCCTTCTTTAGCAAAGTTAGATGCTAAAACTTGGAAAGGATATTTTTTAACAGAGAAAAAGCAGACTGAAGTGCACAGCCCGCTGATTAACTGCAATTATCTGTACATTTACCAGCTACATATTACATTAAATCCTCAAGAAATATAATACTAAATATTCTCAGAATTAAGCTGCTTCTTCATTTATGCCTACAAAAACATCATTAGACTGACATTATTTTCCAGTCAAGGTAGGCAAAATATTAAAACTGTGAATTTTTTTACTACGCTATGAAATTTTTTAATAGCAGTGTAGAATGTGCTATGTATAACAGACAGACTTGTAATTCTTAGTGCACATGGTTATATCACTCACCTTCTCGAAGTGTTTGTAAAAAGTGGCAAGGAAGCAATACTTAAACTAAGATTGTAAAAGGAAAAGCAAATCACTCCATATATTTATTTTTATAGCATTTAAAAGGCCAAACATAGAGGTAACTTTAGTAATCCTGATTCATGATAAAATTTGCTGGACATTCACTTAGCAAATATCATACGGACTTAATGGAGTTTCCAGCATCATTAGAATGAACATGAGAAAGTTCCTCACTTAAAATTCTGAAAAACTATTGCCTTTAAAACAAAAAAAATTGGTGTCCCTGGCTACTTAAAATGTTAAAACCTGAAGTATTACTTTACTTCTCTCTATAAAGTGTCTACTAGATATCTGCAAAGCTTCACTGCGTTTCTAGGGACTCTCTTTGGGCATGAATTGTAGGCTCTATTTCACCTACTGTTGTGTGTCTACACTGCAAATATAAATACTTAAGGCAGTGCAGGGTCTCTTCATAGGACCTTCTAGGAAGCACATCTTGTATCTATGTAAGCAGTCAACACAGACTGCATTGGATATATTTCTACAGACAGTGAAGAGGCCCTACAGTGAATAATTCAAGTGTAGCTACCCAAAGTATACAAATACTTGCACTTAGACAGATGCCCATCAAAGATCCTGGTTTTTCATATGAATCTTGTGTTTGCTAAATAGGACTTTAAGTAGTCCAATATTTTTTGAATAACGTTTCTAAAATTGTTTTCAAATACAATTTTTTTGCCCCCTTTTTTTTTTCCCCTCCCAAATTTAATGTAATTGTACACAGAATCAGTTCTGGAGAACTGCCCTTCAATTCCCTGCTAGAAAGGCAAAATTATACTCCCCAGTTCAGTTCATTTTTGGGCAGCACTAAAACCTGTGCCTAAAGACAAGCACTGCAGACCATCCTTATGCTGCTTTAATTTGGTTTCTATCATAGCAAAAGCAACATCAGCCTGTCTTCAGGCAATCTGCTGGGAAGAGAGTGATAAACAGTACCTCAACAGCAATCACAACACCCCATGGCACCAAGAAACCACAAATACTTCGGGTACCCTCTTTCATTTATTCAACCTGACCTGCTCTGCAAAATTATGGATAAAGGATGCTTCGATAAATGACTAAACAATCTGGCAGTCTCAGCCCCCCATCAACAGTATTCTGGAAAAAAAGGAATTCTATTTCCTGACCTCGTCCACATCAGGAGTTGCAAATACACTGTAAAGCTTACCAGTCATGCACAGCAGTTCCACAATACATTTTATTTGTTACCATCTCCTTGGCATTTGCAGACCCCTCTTCTACTGAGTACATTTCTACTGAGCGTACAAATAGAAGCTTGAATGGCCTCTAAATCAAAAATTCTTAACATGCACCATGTAAATACCATAAACTTGAGGGAGATAAATGTCATTTACAAAAGAAATCACAATGGCAATAAATTTGTGCTGTTTAAATACAGAGTGGAAGACTTGCTCACTTTCACGGAAAAGAAATGATTTGCAGAGATACACTTTTAAGAGTAACTATGATGCTGAACATCATGTTACTGCAAAGCAGAAACACGGGTCTGCCCAGATATCCTAAAGCAACGCACACAACACCTGGGAAGAGTGCACACAGGGACAACTTTACACCTTTCCCACCTTCTTATCCTGGGAATAGTATACCAAGGTGCTTAAAAAATCCCAACATGTGAAAGTAACCACAGGCTTCCTGTCCTTTGTATTTTTTAATAGCTTTCAAAAGGAAAGCACTTAAGACAGGACTTCTGGTGTAAACTGTTTCCTGGCCCTTCATAGTGCCCAGTAGAAATGATTTCTTCCCTCCTATTCAGCTTCCTTATTTATTGTGCTAGAAAGCACAAAGCAGCCATAAGGTCCCTTTCTGCTGTTGAGCAGCCAAAGTGTGCTCTGAGTTGATTTTAAGATCTGCTCTGAAGACAGCCCTAGGTTTGCCTAAGGAGCAGAAATAACTCGAAGAAGTGAGATTGATACATGCCAAATAACACATTTGCTGTTAAACTGATAACTAAACTGACCGAAGTATATACTTCTCTGCATATGCTACAGAAAAGCATTCAGATTTAAGATTAGTTCCTTCTGGCTAGATATTAGTCTTACTCCTGCAACCTCCTTGCTTCATTAAAAAACTCTCCTGTGCTGAGTCTCACTGCTGACACTGGGGCTAGGCCTTTGCCCTGGTTTTGGCTGCAGTAGAGTTGATTTCCTTCACAGCAGCTTGTGTAGAGTGCTGGTCTGGATTTGTGATGAACACAGTGTTGATAACAGACCGATGATTTAGCTACTGCTGAGCAGTGTTTACACAAGGCCGCCTCTGCTCCTCACTCCACCCCACCAGCGAGGAGGCTGGGGAAGCACAAGAAGTTGATAGGGGGCATAGCCAGGACAGCTGACCCCAATGGACCAAAGGAATATCCCACACCGTATGACACCGTGCTCAGCAATAAAAGCTGGGGGAAGGAAGAGGAAGGGGATATTTGGAGTTCTGGTGTTTGTCTTGCCAAGTCACTACTATGTGTGACAGAGTCCTGCTTTTCTGGAGATGGCTAAACACCGCCTTGCCAATGGGAAGCAGTGAATTAATTCCTTGTTTTGTTTTGCTTGTGCATGCAGTTTTGGCTTTACCTATTAAACTGTCTTTATGTAAACCCAGGAGTTTTCTCACTTTTACCTTTCTGATTCTCTCCCCCATCCCACTGTGGGGAAGTGAGTGAGTGGCTGCATGGGGCTGAGCTGCCTGTCAGGGTTAACACACAACAGCCTTGAGCTCCTTTTTCTGCAGTTTTTTCAAAGAACTCTGCACACATATGATACACAGAAATTATTCGTAAGCTGACAGTACTAGAAATACTTATTTTGATGCAGGGATCCTAAATGTATTTGAATTGTAAAAAAAACCCAACATTTAGCTTACAATAAAGTAATTTTGATTACAGAATTCTGTTGCTAGTGACTACTTATCCTGTATTTACATGAAGCATAGAAGATTGCAGCAACTGTAAAAAGTAATTTCAACTTGCACATTTCCTTTTAACAACAGAAAAGTATTCTCGAACATGTTTGACATTTCTGAGAGCTCGTTACTCAAGTCCTCAGCTTTTACCTGACGCTGAATATAACATTCATTTCTCAAAAATGAGTCATAACATCCTCCACTATTAATTCAAATAAAGGGTTTCTGTATCTACTGCAGAGAGTGGATTTTAAAGACTATACTATGGGTGTATGTCCTTATGGTTCTGAGTGACTAATCCAGGCTGTAGAACACACAGAAACACCAACATACTACACATCTTACTGTAGTATATAATGATTCAGTTAAGCTGTATCAGCACCTTTACATTTAATATCTTAAATATCTTAAATCACAGACAAAGTGTATTCTGCTTGTCAGGACAGAATACCTCAACTCATTGATATTTATTATCATTGATATTAATACATGAAGGAAAAACAAATAGAGAATCAAACATCACGTTTTGGTCAACATAAGTTCCACTGACACAATAAGCAAACTGTACCTACTCGCTTAAATCTAACCATCTAGCACTACTTGCAATGCCCTGGGGTATCTAAAACATGTGACAAAGGACCTCTTTCCTGGAATGGCTGTGGCCGGTCAAATGGCACTTGATACCTATGTTTAGGCAATAACATCAAGCCCTGTTTCCACACACTAGTAATTAGACACCTACATCTCTAATAAATATCTAACTTTTAAGAATTTGGATTTGCAAGTTCATTTTCAGTCTTTCAGGGTTTAAAATATGTGGTAAGAATGTGAATGTAAACAACTGGAAAGAATTTCATGTGTCTGACTTTGTTGGTACAGACATGACTGAGGCCCAAGAAATTTGTCCTAGCACCTGCTCTGATGTTACACCTACGCTTACACAGCCGAGTAAGTGCCCACCAGATAAGAAAACCTGATGCGTAAGGTAAAAGGATTTGCATTCGGCTTTTACTCTGAAAGGGTAAGAACAAGTGTCTTCCAGTCATTTCTTCTGATGCAATTATCTGCAATTCAACAAGTTTGCAGCTTATGAAACAGTCACTACTTTTGTTATCATGTAATTCTCATCTATTTATTGTATTTTTATGATGTTAGTAATCC